ATATGTTGTGTGTGTGGATGTGTGTGTGGGTGGGCTGGTGTTGGTGTTGGTTTATGCATGTGTCTGCTTTGTCTTCTCCATCCCCAGTGAGTTATGGAGGATGGCTGCTTATACGGAGCCAGGATGCTCTGGAGATTTCTTCCTGTTAAAAGGGAGTTTTCCTCTCCACTGTCGCTAAATGCCTGCTTAGTATGAGGATTGCTGTAGACACTGACACTAGTCAGTGACTTGACACAATTTGCTGGGTTCCTTATATAGGAAACTTTTTTTCTGATTGGCTTAATGAACTGACCTGTATTGGAATGTTTACTATGTGAAGTGCCTTGAGACGACTCTTGTCGTGATTTGTCGCTATATAAATAAATTTGAATTAAATTGAATTGAATTGAATCTGTGGACACTATCTTTCGCCTGTTGGCGAACCTCGGTACAGGAGACCTGGTTCTCTCCATGGGCAAAGGGCTCTAGCATGCAAGCAGCTGTTATTGTTAGCTTTCTGTGCAGGGGACATGTCGAGCACAGCCGGTGGGTGCAGGTCCAGGGTTGAAACATGTGCATCATGCCCTACAGTTGCAATATAGTTTGGAAATGCACTTTGCTTCCCAACTGAAACAGAGCCAGATGTCTGCAGAATGCTGTTATTCTGTGTTCTGAGAGACGTGCTAGGCCCAACAGGGAGCAGATCTCTAGACCCAGTCAGGAGAACTGCGGGGCTAACGTTGTCTCCAGGCATTTTGTAAACGTGCGAGGGGCGAGCGACAGACTAAAAGGCAAGACTAGGTATTCGTATGCTATGCCCTCGAAAGCGAATTGTAGGAACTGCCTTTGCTCTGGATGTATTGCCACATGGAAGTAAGCGTCCATGAGATCGATCATTGCAAACCAGTCACCCAGACCAATGACATTTAGTAGTTGTCTCAAAGTCAACATTTTGAACTTGTACGTGTGAAGGTGCTTGTTTAGTGTTCCTAGGTCTAGAATGGGACGCAGTCCACCTTTATTCGGAACCACAAACTGAGGGTCATCCCCGGTGGCTGCAGACACTGGTATCGTCTTAGTCGGTGGTGGGGTAGCCGTCGGTTTGCGTGAGCTCATAACAGGCCTGCTTCTGACATCCTCTCTGGGAATGATGCTTCAAACTGCCTCAGTCTGATTCTTACAGAGCTCAAACTTTGTCTTTAAAGCGTCCAAGGACTGTCCGAAAAGCCCCTCAGTAGACACCGGTTCGTCCAAATACACGGCCCTGTTGGTATCCCTCTGAGAGGGTTAGCCACAGGTGTCTTTGGGCTACTACCGTTGACACCATTACCCTCTCCAGTGAGACCGTTGCACAACATGATGTGTGAAGAATGTAATTCGCCGTTACTCGAATCTGGTTCAGGAGGGGGGTCAAGAGGCTTTCAGGTGGCACATGGTTGCCCAGTTTTGACAGGCACATGGCTTGATATGTCTGTAGATGAACTCCGAACGCGAGCGGTGGTCACCTGAGCCTGATAGATTTTTTCTAGCTGGGATGCTGAGAACCTGCATTGCTTAGATGGCAAGGCTATGGAGCCACTCGCACCCAGGTTGTGTGATGGCGCTAGGTAAACTGCCAGAAATGGTTCCATTGAGGGGAGACCAACCAATCCGACCTTCTCAGTGCCCTTGAGATCCACATACTGGGTGAAATCAAGCAGAGTAGTGTGTGGTGACAGCGGCTTGTTTAAGGAGGACTTTAGTTCCATCACAAAGTCTGGGAACATGGGCAGTTGGTTTTAAAAAACACACAAGCAAAAAGTGCTATCTAGCAGCAGCTAGCTATCAGAGGTTAAGTAGAAGGTGTTCTCAGCCAGGTGAAGAGTATAAGAATTGGAGCATGATGTGTGAGCAGGGGTATTTATAAGCAGGTGGACCCTGGCCCCTACGTCACATGTCATGTGGCCTAAAGGTGTGATTAACGGTGTCTTCAGTCAGACCACGTGAGAGCATGATATCCCATACTATATGTGTTGTACTGAGTGAATCAACTGAAAGGGATATGCTATGTTACAAGTTAGGAGAGGGAGAGCTAGCAGACCATCAGCAGGAACTGACATGAACTAAACTAAACTGAAGGGAGAACAGAAAGAATTAAAGCTGCAAGCAGCGTCGTTCGGCCCTCGCAGCGAAGCTGCTCGCCCTCCTTCAGCACCCCCTCCGCTCCATCCCCGACGCTCTCCAAACCCGGCTCCGCGCTTCTCCATCCTGGCCGGCAGCCGAGGGCATCAGGGCATGCCTGTCGGAACAGAAAGTCAGCCACCCCAACACCGGAAACCGTGAAAGGCCTCCTCGTCCACACCTCACCCTGACTCAGCATCCCTTCTGAGCCCACCATTACATGTCTCACCCCTAGGAGATACTCTATCTTTACCACACTGGTGATGTGATGTTCAGTCTCGGGCAAATCGGAGGCTGTTTGTGGAAGTTACAGTCAAACGTAAGGTCACAGCGTCACGCCAGAAATCGCCATGGCATCAAAGCCCCTCACTTTCTGAAAAGCTATCAGATCTGAATGGTCATTACAACATCATGAAGACAGTGCATGACCTTAGTGTCATCTTGACTAAATTAGAGGGGACAAATATGGGCAGTTCACCATAAAACAATAGACTTCCTTTAGTCAGGGGGCGGGGCTTAGGTGATGTCAGCTGTCCACATTGTCACTGTCTTCAGATGTGGTCAGTGATCACACAGACAAAGTATGAAATTGATCTGATCATGCACATGGGAGTTATTAAGTCAAATAAAGTAATGGCGACTGGTCAAAGTTTGAGGCTTAGCCACGCCCATACCTTTATACTTATTTAAAATCCGACGGTTGAATTTTTTCCTCTATGTCTTAAGAGTATATAGCAGGAGTTTGAAGGTGATCGGTGGAAAGGGCGAGGAGATATCATTCTCCTTATAACGTGTGCGAAAACCACTAAATTGAGTAATTGCACCAAAATGGCCGACCTCCTGTGCGACATTACGCTTGGCTCCAAGAGACTTTTTTGTAGGTCCTGAGACACTACATTAGTGTGCCAAATTTTGTGATCCTCAGTCAAAGCATGGCTTGGGGCTGACTGTTTTAATGGTCCTAGGGGGCACTGTTTTGGAAAATAGGCCACGCCCACAAACTTCAGCTGTCCAATTATATTAGGGGTCAGAGTAGGATCACTCATCAGAAATTGTGTGGCAATGTCACAATGATTGAAGAAATGAGAGACAAACGTATTTCCATGGCGTGATGGCGAATTTCGCCATGCTCCCAAAGCCCCGCCTTTATTCGAAACCTGCCAGTACTATAGACCTAGTGACCTCAACTTGTCTGCTGCTATTTGCCACTGTTTGGTGGTGATTGGATAAAAGGAGTCCAATAGGGAGCTGTGAAAAAAAGAGTGGCGTGGCGACAAGTCAGAGTTTGAGGCTTAGCCACGCCCACACCTTTATACTTATTTAAAATCCGACGGTTGAATTTTTTCATCTATGTCTTAAGAGTATATAGCAGAAGTGTGAATGCGATTGGTGAAAAGGGCGACGGAGCATCACTCTCCAAACAACGTGTGCGAAAACCACTAAATCACGCACTTGGACCAAAATGGCCGACTTCCTGTGCGACTTTGCACTTGGCTCCAAGAGACTTTTTTGTAGGTCCTGAGACACCACATTAGTGTACCACATTTCGTAATCCTCAGTCAAAGCATGGCTTGGGGCTGTCAGTTTTAATGGTCCTAGGGGGCACTATTTCAGCAAATAGACCACGCCCACCGGAATGTCACATCAGATTTTTTGGGGGGCCGGACTAGGATCACTCACAAGAAGTTTCGTGGCGATATCTCTAGAAATGACGAAATGGGAGGCAAACGTAAGGCCTAAGTGGTACGCCTGAGTTCGCCGCGCCGCCACAGCCCCGCCTTCTGCAGAAAACTCCCATAAAGTGACGCCAAGCAACCCCAACTTGTCTTCAGTTACCTGATACAACTTTGGGATGATTATTTGAAAGGGCAAATTTTGGAAAATTTCCCAGTAAAACTTGACCTTTTAAGTCCTGAAGGGGCGGGGCTTATGTGACATCATCAATTGACCATTCATTTGTCTTCGGGGGGCGATGATGATTGTCCATAGAAAGTTACTTTAACTGTAATTCTTTCATTTATGAAATTATAGCAATTTGAATTTTTTTGGCGAGTGCTCGAACTTTGAGGCCTGGTCCCGCCCCTTCAGTATTTACGAAAAGTCAATTTTATTGTCTCATTTTAATCGTCCGTCGCTTCTGTTCGATCGCACACTATTTTTGAGACGATCGTGCGAAAAATGACCAAACTGTTCAACCAAATATAGACCCAAGAAATGGCCGAAACAGGGTCAAAATGGCCACTTTAGTCCAAAATGGCCGACTTCCTGTTTGATATTGACCATGGATGCAAGAGGCTTTTCTGTGCGTATTGTTGAGTTCTACAAGTGTACCAAATTTCATAACTGTACGATAAACTAAGCTTTATGGAGAGGGGTATTTTTCACTTTCTAGGGGGCGCTGTTCAGCCATTCTTTTATGAACTTTCACATTGCCAGTGAAATACGTAAATTTCACGCACTTTCAATATTGGGCCAGAATTTGGTGACTTTTTGGATATGCTAAGACCCCCTAAAGGCCAGTCAAAGACGCGGAAGAAAAAAGAAAGAAAGCGTAATAATAAACGGAGCAGATACAATAGGCCTTCGCAGCTTCACTGCTCGGGCCTAAATAGGTTCAACAATGGCTTCTTGGATAGGATGCTAGCAAGAGAAACAATTATATGGCCAGCTAAGCTCCACGTGCTTCTGCTCATCTGGTTTGGTGGATTAAGTTCTCTCTCCTCTTGTATCAGTATTTTAGAGGAAGAACCACCTCAGTGCCATATTGGGTTCCTGTCTGTTTTGATATGTTCCTCCAGCCTAATGTAATAACAAAATAAAGCATACATTCCATAATGACCTCCTGTCTCTCTTTCTAACAGGAGTACTACATAGCAGATGCATCTGAGGACCAAGTGTTTGTGTGTGTGAACCATATCAACAACGTCACACACCTCTACATCTCAGACACACAGGGCCTGTCTTTTTCTCTGTCACTTGAAAATGTGCTATACTTCAGTCCTGAGGGTTCAGGCAACAACACACTCATCAGGTACCACACACACACACTCACATACTACCTTACCATGACCTTGTTGGGATCAACCCATCAGAACTAATTTATTGTGTAGACATGAGAAGTGCTTTACCATGTGTTAGTTTGGTTTCACAAGAGTCCCATAACTCACTCCAAACATCTGAACTTAAGTCTAGGCATCTAAGATGAAACATTTGAACTGTCTCTAAAGTCTCTGGAGTTATTTCATTGTTGTAAAAACAGAAGTTTGTGAGCAGTACCCAAGTTCATGTCACCAAAGACGATGCTGAAGTATGATGAGTTATTGACAGAGAGGTGAGTTGGCCCCAGTCTAAAACTTCAAGACCCACTGCAGGGGAAGAGCCGAGGAAAAGAACATTCAGCTGAAATTAGGGATGTCCAGATCCGATCGTGTGATCGGAAATCACACTTAATCGGGATCGGCAAAACTTCCCAAACCAGACTCAGATACAGGCAGGGTTCAAATTACAGAAGAGGTAATTACGCGATCGTTCATGTCGGCTCATTTCCTTTTATGTTTTCTGTCTTTTATTTGTGCCTGATGTGTTTCGCTGCTGTGGAGCGGGGCGCATCACCTGTTTTGTCCTCCGGTGACGCACCTCACTGATGCGGCCGGCGAGCAGCACTCCACTGTTTTAGCAGTCGATAGATCTTTTAGAGCTGCCGTTCAAAGGTAACTCATAAGGTGAATATATATGAGCCCAGGTAGCAGTTTTTCTTTATGACTGAGAGGAGATGCAGGAAGATAATAAACAGACAGGACAGAAAAATAGTCAAATAAAAGCAAGTTACTTTTTGTACCTGGTGGTTGCAACAAACAGACACCATTGAAGGTAATCAGAAGCGAGGAACAGAAAATGAAATAATTATTTTAATGTTTAGAGCAGCAGGAACTCCGAGAGGCTGCAGGCGCATCAGTTAGTTTGCGGCCGCTGCGCAGGGGGAGGGGGGAGAGGGCTGAAGCCATCCATTTCCATTTTCATCCGCTTATCCGGAGTCGGGATGCGGGGGCAGTAGCCCAAGGCGAGAGGCCCAGACTTCCCTCTCCCCAGCCACCGGGGGAATCCCAAGGTGTTCCCTGGCCAGGTGAGAGACATAGTGCCTCCACCGTGTCCTGGGTCTACCTTTAGGTCTCCTCCCGGTTGGACGTGCCCAGAAAACCTCACTAGGGAGGCGTCCAGGAGGCATCCTGACCAGATGCCCGAGCCACCTCAACTGGCTCCTCTCGATGTGGAGGAGCAGCGAGTCTACTCCGAGCCCCTCCCGAATGACCGAGCTTCTCACCCTATCTCTAAGGGAGAGCCCAGCCACTCTTCAGAGAAAACTCATTTCGGCCGCTTGTACCCGCGATCTCGTTCTTTCGGTCACTACCCAAAGCTCATGACCATAGGTGAGGGTAGGAATGTAGATCGACCGGTAAATCGAGAGCTTCGCTTTCTGACTCAGCTCTCCCTTCACCACGACAGACTGGTACAATGCCCGCATCACTGCAGATGCAGCACCAATCTGCCTATCGATCTCATGCTCCAGTTTTCCCTCACTCGTGAACAAGACCCCAAGATACTTAAACTCCTCCACTTGGGGCAGGACCTCATCCCTGACCCAGAGAAGGCATTCTACCCTTTTCCGAATCAAGACCATGGTCTCAGATTTATAGGAGCTGAAGCAAGATGCAGCCCCCCCCCCCCCCCCTCCCGTGCGCTTCAGGTGTATGACGTCATCAATGACTAGTCGAAGTCGACTCGATTTTCATTACTTGACGGTCGACTTTAAAAAAATTGTCATGCAACCCCTAATGGGAAGTAAACACTGTGTGAAAATGTTTTCCTTCTATATAATAAATAAATAAGTGTCAATAATATGAACACTGCTACTTATTACAATATTAATTAGAGATTGCTATGTTTATTGTACAAAGTTTCTTCGACTGATACAGGATCATAAAATCTGCTGGAAATCCAAATTAAAGTTAGATAAAACTGGAAATGACGATAAAACACAATACAGGCTTAATTACAAGGCTCAGCTCCTTCCATATTCACCTTTAATGTTACCTTATATTACTTATATTAACACTATAAAAGCCATTATATTTATTTCAAATGAGAGAAACCAGAATTTTTGGATTTTAGGGAGTGCACAAACTCAACGTTTTGGAGGGCGGCCTCCAGGTCCATTTTACCATGGGTCCCCAAATGCCTAGAAACGGCCCTGGGTGTGGGACTGAGGTTTCATCTGAATTGTTAAATGTTCTTATAATGCTGCTTTAAACAGTATGAATGTTAAATGGGTACCTACCCTTTCCTTTTTAAGCCCTTTGTTTTGTTTTCTTGTTTTTTATTTGACTATTTTCCTGTCCTGTCTCTCTGATCTTACTGCATCTCCTCTCAACTGCTTCCAGGCTTCCCGACTTTTTCCACCTCATGAGCTACCTTTGATGTAAGCAGCTCAACACGATCTACCGATCACAATTAATAGATAGCAAAGTGCTGCAGCCGCGGCAGAGAGGTGAAATCACGGTACAGGTTATGAGCTCCGCTGAGGGCGGAGCACGTCAGACACCAAAAAAAGACATAAAGTAGAAAATATGAGCTGAAATGAACATTAGAATGTTAGTGGTTTTCTTTTACTGGTGCCTCTTTGAGAAAGTTACTGTGGCTGCGCACAGGAATAATCAGCGCTCTCCATACTTGAGGAGATGCTGAAGCACTCAAGAGAGGCACACAGACTTGGAAAACAAAGGGTAGAGTAACTCCAATTGTAAAATAAAGTATTTTAAATTATCATCTCAGTGGTGTGTGTGTGTGGTGTGCTCGATAACTAAGTCAGTTACTGTATGATGAATGTCTCCCTGATGTTTTTCTGTTGGACCTCTTTTATTCCCCTTCCTTGGGCTGCTCACATGGGCCCCTAGTGGGTGTGGGCCCTTTGGCCCCATAATGCCCATCAGATAATCCGGCCTTGTCAGGCAGTGGCTTTTATGGAGGACTGAGAGGAGATGCAGGAAGGTCAAAGACAGGACAGGAAACTAGGTTAATAAAAACCAAGAAAACAAAACAAAAAAAAAGTTCTTGAAAAATTAAATGTAGGTATTTTTGTCCCACTGTACATTTTTACCTTCATAAAGCAATAGTTTATCAGCATGTAATATTCATATATTTGATACAATTCAGATCACCTTCAGAACTCAGTCCCACGCCCAGGGCCGTATCAAGGCATTTTGGGGGCCAAGGCAAAATAAACCCTTGCCAGTTATCTTAAGTTAAGATGCTATTTGTTTTGATATTAGACTTTATTTTTTTATATATTTGCACTAAAGTCCAAAAGTGAAGAGTTTGTTATTCATCACTTGATTGAATGAGCTATCTCACGTTTGATCTGTTTGTTAACAGAGTTGTTAAATGTTAAAATAAAGTAAATTAAATAAAAAATAAAGAATATTCTGGATCTATTTCTTTGCTTTCTTTATTCCTTTTTTATGTATCCAACGTTCGAATCGGGACTCAATTTCGGCAGATTCTCAAAATCAAATGATTCGGACTCAAGGGCAAAAAGCCCAATTGAGACATCCCTATCTGAAACCGAACCCCCTACACTTGTATCTATCAGCTAGTGGTCCAGAAATCTTCCTATGACTACTTGGAGTGTCTTAGCATTTATTCTACCATGATTAAACAAAACAGGATAAGCGTAGGCTGTTTCGTGGTTAACTGTAAAACCAGTGAATAATGAAGCAAACAGCACTTCATTACTTCATGGGAACATTGTGAGCTCTGGCTTTAGACCAGAAGGCAAAGATCAAACGGTCTGATTAGAGAACCAGTTTGGGCCCAGTATGTGCTGTAGTGCTGCTCACTGTTAAGTAAATAGTAAATAACTCAAGCCATGTTTAATTAAAATAAAGGCGTGGACATATTCCAGAGACCCAGCATGACCCCGACGGTACTGGGTATTTTTAGGATTCGTTTGGATTAAAGTCTGACTCATTTTGTCATGATACTTTGTGGTGTAATGTTGACATTTGATCCATGTATGAATAAAATCAGAGGTTATACTGTGTGTCAACGCTCTGGCACTTGATGTGAAGAAACCAAACACTGAATGTTCCTGGATCTGACGGAGATGCTGATTGGACAGCAAAACAAATTGAGATTCCCCCTATTCTTTAGATGCTTTATTTAATTTAGTCCTTTGGTCCTTTAGATAAACGAATAAATGAATCATCTAGCCAAGCCAGCTCTTCTGTTGTGTATTAATAAATTCACTGTGACCTTGCAGCACAAACTGAGCTCAGACTGCAGCCTTACCAGTGATGGAGTTGTTCCCATAGCAACCTCTGGAAATCAGAGAAAGGCCTCCAGTTCCCGTCACAGATGCTTGGTAACAGTGGTGGTTCAGACAACAACATGTTCTGTTTTCTTATCCGAACGAAACACAAAAAAACGTCTTGCTGGCCTGACTGCTCAGCTGTTCTCAGCTCTGTGCTTTTCCAGGTTTTACTGTGTTTGTGGATGTTTAGTTTGTTTAATGATCTGGTTGGTGGAAGCAGTCAGCGTTGGCTCAGCCGTCTGCCTTCTGCTGAGGTTTCATTCCATTTGTGGCACGCTGCCCTTGTTGATGAAATTAGCCTTCTGCTGTGTTCTCCACATGCTGCTGTGGACATTTGTTAGCTGATTGTACAGATGAACGCTTGTAAATGTAGAGTACTGATTCATTAGTTTCACCTCCCTTGGCCTCCTGTACGGTGGCCCTGAAGTGCAAACCACAAAAACAAATCACTTAACGCAACAACAAATCACTTAACGCAACAACAAATCACTTAATGCAACAACAAATCACAAAACGCACAACAAATTGAAAAGCGCAACAACAAATTCGCTAATTGCAACAAAAAATCACTAAGCGCAAAAACAAATCACTAAATGCACAACAAATTGAAAAACACAACAACAAATTGAAAAGCCTAACAACACATCGCTAAACGCACAACAAATTGAAAAGCACAACAACAAATTGAAAAGCCTAACAACACATCGCTAAACGCACAACAAATTGAAAAGCGCAACAACAAATTCACTAAAAGCAAAACCAAATTGAAAACCACAAAAACAAAACACAAACCAGAAAAGGTAGGTACCAATGCTGCAACAACAGGCATCGCTGATTGGACGATGGATCCGTTGGCCTTTTGAACCGGAAGTTATTCTGCCGAAAGTGGTTATGTGAAAGAGCGGTCAGCGGGTGTGTCTGAATCCACAGGCAGGAGTCAAAACCATAAACTTATGTTCTCTGTTCAATATCATGTGATTCTTTGTTAGACTGTTTTGTTTTCCCATAGACACCCCCTGACATTGTGCTTGTTATTTCTTTGTAGTTGTATTATGTGCTTTGTCAATAAAGCGTATTCAAGAAAAAAAATAAAAAAAAGAATCCACAGGCAGGATGCTTACGAGTATGGGTCCTCGCCGGTCTTGCAAGGCCGGGTCCTTGCCAGACCGCTGAGACCGGAACCCAGCGGCTCTGAATTCGGACAGTCTAGCCTTCACCTCTGCGGTGGCCCGTAGGTCCCGTCACGGCCGTGGCGGCAGCTACACGCAAAGGAAAAATGCTAAAGCTAGCGAAAATGGAGCAGGAATATTAAGGAGCGACAGCAGCTTCACGTCCATCAGCAGCGTTTGTTCACAACTGTTTTCAGGTAAAGTAACTTTGTTTATTCTAGAAGCTTTCAGGACTTACATGTTAACTTTAGATGGTTTCATGTATGTTTTAAGTTACAGAATGAACTTGTTAAACGTGCACAACACATTTCTACAGAGTATTATCATGTAGGTAATTAATATAAACCAAATGCATTATAAATGTTGAATGCAGTAGGATGTTTTCTGATGTAAATTGGACCTTAGAACTTATTTTGCATCAAATGAGGGTAAAACATTTTAAAAAACAGGCTTTTTAATAAAATAGCATTGAACTGTTTTCAATGTGCATTTGTTTATTCAACTTAAGCCTAATAATGATTAGATCTGTCTTACTAATGTAAATTCTCTGTAGTTTTCCCTGCTGCTTTTCTTTAAACCGAACAGAACCAGTGTACTGCAGGTTATAGGTTTTGTTTTACATTTTTCTATAAAAAAACTCTTTTTAAATCTATTACAGGTCAGCATGCACTGTGCTGCACATCTGCCTCTGTGCTGGTGAAGTTGTGGGTCTGCAGGATGAGCGTGAGGAAGATGTGTGTGGAGGAGGTCAGTGGTGCTCTGTCCTGGAGGAGGTACCAGCAGACCACCACTACTGTTAACAGGCAAGTCATTCACAGAGATGTAACAGCCGTCGTCTGAGCCAGCCCAGCAGGCCCTGTAGATGGACGATGGAGTAGACAGTGAGAGGAAGCGTCCCAAAGCTCTCTCTGCAGACCGTCCTGTATGATGTTCCTCTGACCAGAAACGTCCAGCCATGGGTCTGCTCCAGCCCTCCATCCACACCTGGATCCTCCTGCAGCAGATCCAGCTGCACTGTTAAAGACTTCCTGCTCACTCAGTTTAAATAAATGATCCAGAAAGAGTCACTCAGGTTAATCCTGCTTGAACCGTACATAACTGGTCATACTGGTTTTGATCTGTAAATAAGTGTAACCTATTATAAATAATCTTGTCTCCTTACTATCTTTTCATTTTCTGTTCATGTAACATGTTCAAAAACATCTAATAAACTGGTGATAAAATCAATGACCAGAAAGAGTTATCAGTTAGTATTTGTTTTAATAAGCATGTTCAAATATCAAACAGCTAAATAATATTAACATGATGACAGTAGAAGGCCTCTCTCCCAGGATGACCAACAGGTAAAGCCTCTCCTGACCCTGGACACCTGCAGTCCTAAACAGAAAACCAGAGACCACAGGTGACAAAAAGGCAATAAACACATTTTTACATTTATCCACATGAGAAGATAAAAATTATATTCTTCACACAAACTTTTTACTTCATTAAAACGTGTCAGATGTGTAAATCCCTGAATGTAAAACTACTTTTCACAGAAGAACTTCTGTGGTTGTGTGTAAACCGCTTCACTCTTCACCTCTAAGCTTAATAAAAACGCTTCTTTGCTCCGTTGTCCTTAAAACAAATGACAAGTTTAATTCACCACACACACACACACACACACACACACACACACACACACACACACACACACACGCGTGCGCACATCCACCCACCCATACACACACGGGAATAACTGGGACCTGCGAAACAAACTCGTTCTGGGTGATTTCTGCCTAAAATGTAATTTAAAAAACAAATATACAATTGAAAAATGTCAATAAACTGAACCGCTTTAAGCTTTTTAGGTTTCTACGGCATTTATAATGCATTTGGTTTATATTAATTACCTACATGATAATACTCTGTAGTAATGTGTTGTGCACGTTTAACAAGTTCATTCTGTAGCTTAAAACATACATGAAACCATCTAAAGTTAACATGTAAGTCCTGAAAGCTTCTAGAATAAACAAAGTTACTTTATCTGAAAACGGTTGTGAACAAACGCTGCTGATGGACGTGAAGCTGCTGTCGCTCCTTAATATTCCTGCTCCATTTTCGCTAGCTTTAGCATTTATCCTTTGCGTGTAGCTGCCGCCATGGCTGTGACGGGACCTACGGGCCACCGTAGAGGTGAAGGCTAGACTGTCCGAATTCAGAGCCGCTGGGTTCTGGTCTTAGCAGTCTAGCAAGGACCCGGCCTTGCTAGACCGGCGAGGACCCGTACTCATAAACATCCTGCCTGTGGATTCTTTTTTTTTTTTTTTTCTTGAATATGCTTTATTGACAAAGCACATAATACAACTACAAAGAAATAACAAGCACAATGTCAGGGGGTGTCTATGGGAAAACAAAACAGTCTAACAAAAGAATCACATGATATTGAACAGAGAACATAAGTTTATGGTTTTGACTCCTGCCTGTGGATTCGGACACACCCGCTGACTGCTCTTTCACATAACCACGTTCGGCAGAACAGCTTCCGGTTCAAAAGGCCAACAGATCCATCATCCAATCAGTGATGCCTGTTGTTGCAGCATTGGTACCTACCTTTTCCGGTTTGGGTTTTGTTTTTGCGCTTTTCAATTTGGTTTTGCGTTTTGTGATTTGTTTTTGCATTAAGTGATTTGTTGTTGCGTGTTTCAATTTGTTGTTGTGTTAAGTGATTTGTTTTTGTGGTTTGCACTTCAGGGCCACTGTACTCCTGTGTTTACTTACATATACATGCACCGTAACAGGGTCAAATTCCCAGTGGAGATATACAAACGCTGCAGCACATTCACAGATTCTGACTGTTCACCTCTCTTGAGCAAGGCATCATGTCACCCCTCCATGTTTCAGGTACTTTGCCAATGAGCCGTTTGCTGACCTGCACCGTGTAGAGGGGCTGCGAGGCGTCTTCATCGCCACGCTCATCAACGGCTCGGCTAGTGAGGACAACATGCGCTCTGTCATCACCTTTGATAAGGGGGGGACGTGGGAGCTGCTACAGCCGCCTGCAGCTGACAGCCTGGGAGGAACCGTAGAGTGCCAGGTAGAAGTAGAATGCCCATCTTTTGATTTTATATTTCCTCATCAGGCTGACACAGTGATAGTTTGCTCCTGTTGTATTGTTGTGTGTCCCTTTTCTTTTCTTCTCCTTTTGCAGGTCTGGAAGCAGACTCCTGTTCATCACTGATTGTTTATTTGGACCCCCCCCCCTTGTCTCTTCCTTTCTCTTTCACCTCTGTCTCCGTGTCTGGTCAGAATTAAAAAAACAAAACAAAAAAAACAATAAAGCTTTAAGTATCAGGCGTGACATTAAAAGCAGACGCTTTGATGCTCCACCTGAGAGTAAATCTGTAAGGCTTGTCACCAGCATTCAGACATCAATTATATGTTTGCTCCACAGCCAGACAGGACACGGGGGAAAAAAAAAAAAGAATGCCCATCTTTTACTATCATCATTCTGTCACCATGGAAACAAGGGACTCAATGTTGTTTGATCAACGGGGGTCTAAAGAACATTTAATAGCAACACATTAGGTCATGGATTAATTTGTAAAAACCTCTCTTTTGTGAGTTCTTCAAACTGTCGCTCAGAAATGATAAATTATCGTAAAACGACTCCATTCATCTTAGTTGTGTTCTTCTGTGTCGTATTTCTAATTCCATGCTGTAGTTCTTTTTTTAAAACACAGAAGAGTTTTGTTTACCTGTTTTCCCGCTACGTTTCGTTTGCGGCTGCAAACTTCCTTAGGCTGACGCTGATGGTGGCGTCACTTCCTTCTCCATTTCCTTCTCCATTCAGTTCAGTTCTGAACGGACTGAATGTCTGATTCTCCAGAGATCCGGTTCCTTTGATCAGGATTTAAATGAATCATTGAGTATGTTACACCCAGAACAGCTGGTCCCAAACTGTTTTCCGATTAATATATTCCAGACTCAGAATTTGAGCTTTAGATAGTTCTTCATGCTTTTATTTCCACTTGTCTCTGACACTTAGCAGGAACCAACAGAAGATCTGATCTGGAGGAGACCCTGGTTTCATTCTGATGCTTCACGACTTTATAATCAGCTTCCTGTTTTTATGTTGGCAGTCTGATTTAAACTGTGTTGGTGTTTGTCCTCTTTCAGCTCAGTAAAGGTTGTTCCCTCCACCTGGCCCAGCACTGGAGCCAGCTGTTCAACATCCAGCTCAGAAGGATGCCAATTTTATCCAAGGACTCGGCACCAGGGCTGATCATGGCCACAGGTGGGACAACAGGAATCCAAAAACAGCTTTTTTCTATGAGAGGAACCGACATTCAATCAGTCACTCTTCTTTTAATTAACTTCACTTTTATGTTATTGTCAAGACTGCCATATGTACGGGGCAGCAGTAGCTCAGGAGGTAGAGTGGGTTGCCTCATGATTGGAGGGTCGCTGGGTTGATTCCAGCTGCTGCCAGGCGGATTCTGCTGTTGTGTCTTTGGGCAATTCACTTCACCATCTTGCCTGTGCTAGTGGTGGTCAGAGGGGCCGACGGCACCAAATGGCAGCCTCGCCTCTGTCAGACCAACCCAGGGCGGCTGTGGCTACAAAGTAGCCCATCACTAACAGTGTGTGAATGTGAGAGTGCATGAAAGCGTCTTTGAGTGTCCTAAACATGCACTGTTTAAGTGGTATTATTATTATTATTATTATTATTATTATTATTATTATTATTATTATTATTATTACATGTCATACACAGAATTCAAACTGTGTTTCTTCAGTTATACAAGTATAAAACAAAGGTAAAAATGTGCTATATTTGTTCAAAATAAATTTGATAAAAACAAATTGAAAATCGGTTTAAAGGAAATGTTATCACTAGGCATGTTTCGATCACATTCTTTTGCTCCCGATCTAATTCCGAATCATTTGATTTTTTTGAGCATCCGCCGATACCGAGTCTTGATTCGATACTTGTCAGCAAAGCGTTAAAATGAGAAGAAAACACATCTTTTAAGTTTCACTTTCACTTGTTTGGGAAGTACACTGATTAAAAAACATGTTTATATTTTCTGTATATTCTAAAGTAGCAGCGTGGCCTTTATTTTAAGTCGTTTGCTCCCTCAATATGCAGCTGCATTTAACAATGAACTGTCCCTTGACAGGGCAGGCATGCAGCGTCTTAGCAGGCAGGCTAACTTTTCCCAGCATAACACCTGTAGCTAACGGGCAGCTCAGGTGCTGCAGGAGAACTAGGAACCCTGATGTTTTTGAGCTGGCTTTGCATTTTTGCCTGAGTTTGCTGTGAACTGGGACTGTTAGTGGCAAACTGGGAATTAATGGAGACCGGTGATTTACTTTGTTGATGCCCGAAGGGAAAGCCTGAAAGCGATAGTAGTCCGTTTGTAGGCAGCGGATCATGGAGCTGTATCCTTTCCAGCATGTATAATGTCCAGTATGCACACATTACAAGTGGCTGTTGCTCTGCCCTCGTTGTCCGGTTTAAAATCCCACCGAGATGAAGACATTTTAGCTCTCCTGAGGAGACACGTTAGCTCTGCATTAGCCTGGTTGCTAACAGCCGCACCTTAGTGTCTGAATCCAAGTCTTCAGTAAAATGTGTGACGTTGCTGTGCTGTTTTCCTACAAGAAACAAATAATCTTGATGTAGAGGAACTAATTGGAATTAAAACTAAGCCATTGTTATTCCATTTGAAAATCTATCTCAGGATGAATTTAAAATGTCATGTTTAAAAGGTTGAATCCAATCATTTTCTCCTGATCCTTTTAAGATCATATGATCGGATCAGAGCATCCCTAGTTATCACCATAAAAGTACAACAACAGTAATCATAATGGCGAAAACCTTATCATCTTAATTCTGCGTCCTCGGGTTGGTCCACAGATAGGTGTATCACAGGTGAGCACCATGATGGGACACCTGCTGTGGGGTGTAGGTGTAACTAAGTACAATCAGAAGACGCTTACAAAGAGCCTGAAGTGTCTACAACTGCTCTGATGAATCCTGATTAGGTCTTTGACTGATGTTTAGGCGATTTACTAAGGAGAATTTAACAAATCTGAGTGACTTTATTGGGGTTGAGCTCTGTTCAACAAAGAACACTTCCTCAGCTGAATCATTCCCACTTTTTGGATCTTGTAATGGAAATGTGAAACCATCATTCTGTTTTAGTCATGCTGAGGAAATTCACTCAGTTCCTCAGAAAATCTTTGGAATTAGTTTCTTCCTTTCACATTCTAGTGATTCTGAGACTCAGATGTCATTTAGTTCAGATCAGTGAGAAGACTCTGGGTGCCATCTGTCGGACAAGGCCTTCTTCCTTTTCGACAACATCCTCCGATTTTGTCACCACAAGACCCAACACTTTATACAGGAAGCACCACGTTAGGCAAATTCACAAATTTGTCTTCTCACTTTCTATAAATGTCCACATCCTGTTTGAACCAGAGCTTAGGAAGTGCAGCTGTGTTGATGTTTGCAGGGTTCAACATGCTACAGTCTAATGATTTTATCAGAGAAGAGGCTCTTTGGGTCTCATCCTGCTGGTTGGATACACTTTGTGTCCACTCAGCTGGTAGAGAGCATTGATTTGTTGATTCTCTCCTTCCCCTTCTCCCAGCCAGACTCTCTAATTAAATTCTTATTAGATAATATGCATGAAAACAGGAGGAGGGGGTGGGGTGGGGGTGGGGGGTGGCAGTCAGCTCTGCCACTTTATTCGTTATCGCCCCCAAACAGATGTTTTAATTACCCCGGCTGCAAGCTCTGGGCAGAGGATGGGTCAAACACACTCGTGGATATGGGTCGCACATCCATTTTGTGTGTGTGCTCACACGCACACACACACATGCATAGACTCCTGATCATACATCCCTATCCCAAGCCTAATTATTGAAACATCGTCGTTTATGACGTTTGACTCAATCTCCAGACCATTATTCTACAATGTTTTTATAAATAGTCATGAAAGCAAATCATGATGAATTATATAAAGCTCAAACTTGGAGACAATATTTTTGAACTTTAAGCCGTTTTACTCCCCACGGGAAATATCATCATTCATTTTGATTGGAGTATACATACATCCTCAAGCAAATGTGAATGTTGCATTGCAGACTCTCGCCGATCAAGTTACCTCCACAGAGAACAAATACCCAGACTCAGTGCTCATTATTTTGGGTGATTTCAATAAGGCTAAACTTAATACCGCACTACCGAAATACAGACAGCACATCAGATGTCCGACTAGAGGCAAAAACATATTGGATCATTGCTATACAGTTCTTAAAGGGGCATACCACTCTGTCCCTCGTGCAGCTCTCGGCCTCTCTGACCATAATTTGATTCATCTTATCCCCACTTATAAACAAAAACTAAAATCTGTAAAGCCAGCCATCAGGACAGTGAGGAAATGGACAAATGAAGCAAAAGAGGAGTTACAGGACTGTTTTGATTGTACAGACTGGAGAGTATTTGCAGATGCCACCGGCGATCTGAACGAGCTAACGGACACTGTGACATCCTACATCACCTTCTGTGAGGAAGTGTGTGTGCCAACAAAGACTTTTCGCACCTTTAATAACAACAAGCCATGGTTTACAGCAACACTGAGCCAGTTGAGACGGGCAAAGGAGCAGGCTTATAGGGCAGGAGACAGGCCTCTGTACAAATCACTCAGGAACACGTTGAATAAGGAGATCAGAGCTGCTAAAATTAAGTATGCAGCAAAGCTGAAAAACCAGTTTACAGCTAACAACCCCACATTATTGTGGAGAAACATTCAGCACATTACCAACTACAGGAGACCATCCTCCATTTCTGATGCTAATCATGGCCTTGCTGAGGAGCTAAATGGCTTTTACTGTCGCTTTGAGGAAAGGAATGTCACACCCCTCCTCCACTCCAGCATAGCTGCAGCCGCCACCCCTCACCTGGACTCTCTTAAGCCGGGCGTACACTGTGACTTTGTCACTCGCAGTGTTCAGCTTCAGCTCAAACTGTACGACTTCCTCGCAGGGCAGATCTCACGAGCCAGGCGCTCACACTGCACGACCCAGTTCTCGGATGCGACCTGACTGCTCACACTGTACGTCTGGTAGCAACACGTGGGACCTAAAAATATGCTAAAAATAGCAGTTTTTACACAACACGTCAGACTTTTTTTGTCTTGTTTTGCCTGTTGTCCTTTGGGAGTGCTGCAGGAGGACACACAGGGATTTATGGGGGTTGGATGAGGAAAATGAAATAAAGAAAGTAAATCTGTGTTTTGTGATCAGTTTAATTTGACATGATCACGACAAACACGCTTTCTTGACCATCTTTGTGAGTAAAAAAAACTTGTAGAAACAAAAACAAACGACGTGTGTTATTAGGGAAATAGCGGGGAGCGGTGTTGATGCATGATTGCGCATGCGCCGTGAGCGGTTCTGATACATTTTGGGTCGCAGCTGCTCGCAGCGCCGCTTCAACAGTGCGATACCCTCACGAGGGACGAGCGGATTATTAAACACACCAGAAGTCCGTGCGACCTCACGACTGCTGATCGGCAGCTGGTCACGTGGTGTTAATCGCCTCTCGTAACCCCCTGTTCACTACACAACCGCTCGGCGCAAAACTCGCCCCGATGTCGTGGATTCTCGCACGACTGGAAAATCGGCTCAAAAAAGTGAAAAAGTCGCACATTGTACGCCCGGCTTTACTCCTCTTTCCTCTAAATCACAAGCTGCGTTCCTTGTGAAGGAAGAGGATGTCTGCAACATCTTTAGGAGACAGAACGTACGGAAGGCACCAGGCCCAGATGGAGTAACTCTTTCCTGCCTCAGGACATGTGCTGTCCAACTAGCACCTGTCTTCACAACGATATTCAACAGATCGCTGGAGCTGTGTGAGGTTCCATAATGCTTCAAAAGCTCCACTATCATTCCAGTACCAAAGAAATCCTCCCCTACTGAATTGAATGACTACAGACCCGTGGCTTTGACATCAGTAGTCATGAAGTCCTTTGAGCGCTTGGTGCTGTCCCATCTTAAAAGCACCACAGGCCACCAGCTGGATCCCCTGCAGTTTGCATATAGGGCAAACAGGTCAGTGGATGATGCAATTAACATGGGGCTGCACTTCATCCTGGAACATCTTGATCAACCAAGGACCTACGCAAGGATATTGTTTGTGGATTTTAGCTCTGCTTTTAACGCCGTTATACCAGATATCCTCACCTCAAAACTTTCTCAGCTCACTGTTTCCCCTGCTATGTGTCA